CCCCCCCAGCTCTCCCAGCCTGTGTCCACAGCAGACACACTCCAGTCCTGGGAGCACCTCCATGGTCCTCCTACCTTTTATCCCACTGGACAAGCAGTCACATCCCACAGGGATCAGGCAGCAGGGCAGGCTCCCCTTTGGCTCTTACCTCCACAGTGTTGACTCTGATTTCAGCGTTGTCCTTCTCAGCTTTGAGCTCCAGCTCCACGTTCAGGAGGGCAATTTTGGGGGACTGGTACTTCTTGGGCTGCATCTCAAACCCAGCATAGGAGAAGGTCTTCTTGAAGGCGACTCCGGCCACCAGCTGAGAGTCCTTGAAGGCAGGGATTTGTGTCAGGCTCAGCCTCCCAAGGTTCTCTCCACAGGGTTAATAACTCCCACAGGAGACTCCCTGCTTCCAGAGGCCTCATTTACAAAGCCTTCCCAACGCCTGTCTCCTTTGATTAACCCACTTTTTAGAGGGAAGAAGCAGCAAGGGTTTCTCTCTGCTCACAAAAAGCACCTTCCTCTCCACCCCTCAAGACCCCACAGCCAAAAACGCTGCACACACAACCTGAAGATCAAGGCATGAAGCCATCAGTTCTCTCCTTGATCTCTTTCCCATTCCTACCCTTTGAACATGGATACTTCTAATCCACACTCTGGGCTGGTTCTTTCTGCTCTGGTTTGTTTTTCCAAGCTCTGTCACCGCCTCTGGGATTTTTCTTCCAGCAGGACAGCCCTGCCCAACCTGGAGTGATCTCTTTGACTCCATGGCTGGGAGAGAAATCAGGATCTAACTTTCCTACTCCACAGCCAGGAACAACTCCCTGCCATGTATCCAGGTGCAATCCCATGCAGGACAGGTATTCCAGCACTGTGGCACAAACCACACATCCCACCCACCACTAGATCAGCTCCTTCATGAGGTTTTCCTTGCATTTTTCCCAACCCAGTAATCCTACATACAACCAGGATTTTTGGATCCAGAAGTAAAAAAAAACTTCCCACCAAAAAACAAAAAAAAAACCAAAAAAAAACAAACAAAAAAAACCAAACAAAAAAAAACCAAAACAAAAAACAAACAAAAAAACAAACAAAGCAAAAAAACCAAACCAAAACAAAACAAAACAAAACAAAACAAACCCAAAAAAAACCCCCCCTTGAACATTTCACTATTTGAAAAATATAAAGGGAATTTAGGGTTTATATTAATTTGTATCAGTAACATTTGCTGCAAAAGAGGTAAGAGTGTACTTGGCTCAAAACCCAGATTCTCTACCTATGGAAAATAAATCCAGCCCTGTCTCCTAAGCTTTTTCCTCACACCAGCACCTTTGTTTCACTTTGGGAATTCCCAAACAGGCATTATCAAGCCAGGCTGCATTTCTGCTCGAGCCAAGTGATTCCTGTCTCCCATCCCTTCAGGACAGGCTCTGACAGAACTTACTTCCAAAGCTCCTCCTTGCACCTTCTTTATTCCAATCATTTTGAGCTGTAACAAGTCATCCAACATCATGACAGCATCTACAACCATCTTGGAGAAGAACTCCTTGCTCTGGGAGATGAGTTTGGAGCTCAGGGCTGTGGCTGCACACTTCTCCAGGAGGCTCCTCTGCTCACTGCAAAGAGGAAGAACAAGGGTTTGCCACCTGATAAATCTTTTCCCAAGCCTAAAGCACTCTTTGGCTTCATTAATCAGAGAATTGTTTCGGTTGGAAAAGATCTTTAGGATCATTTAGTCCAACACTGCCAAGGCCACCACTGACCCATGTCCCCAAGTGCCACATCTACAGGGATTTTAAATCCCTCCAGGGATGGGGATCCACCACTGCCCTGGGCAGCTGTGCCAGGGATGGACAACCCTTTCCAGGAAGGAATTTTTCCCAATATCCAATCTAAACCTC